GGCAGCGCGGGAACCCCGACCTGCCCCCGAGCCGCGCACCCCAGGGAACACAGAACGCGGCAGCGTGTGTCCAGCGGTTCTTACTTTAATTCTTAGTATTTTCAGAACTTCAGCTAGTAATTACTGTCGTCACTACACGTCACAGCGGTTAGCTCTATGTACACACAATGTATTTGCGGGGCGTTGCTCGCGATCGCTGCAGTCAGTCTCCGTAATCGGGTGAGGTGGAGAGGTGCTGTATGCCAGGTACATTTGAGACAGTAGTTTTTAATCACTGTAATTGAATATTCAACAAAGAACATATTTATCACGTAACTCCCACTAGCAAAAAAGTTTCCCCCCCCAAAATTGTTTTTGCTAATGTAAGAATATACCAAAACACCAATCCCACAGATGGCTCTAGCAACAGTTCAAAACAAGGTAACTCACAGACCCAAGCACAAGGAGTATAGATAGTACCACTGCCGCTTAAAATGTGCGAGTACTGGTAACTGACCTGAACGGAAAAAAGCACAATATAAAACTCATCATCACTCCTCTCTCCGACTGCAGCCCATGGCTAACCAGACACTGTTTAAAGGAAGAGTGGATTATTTTATAAATAATAATGTTTGGGTAGCATTTGAGAAGTTAAAAAAGTACTGTCATCATGTATTTTGCTACTATAAATAAAGGCTAGTTGCTGTGTTTCGGTCCCTGGTTTTGCAGAACCCGCACAGTTTGTTCACAAGGAAGCCAAGGTGTGTGGGCATGGAGTTGCAGTCCCCCAGGAGATGACAACGTTGTGACATGTCCAGCTTTGGATGAAAGTGCACAGCTGCATGTACAACTGACATCCTAAGACACTGTAAATCGTAAGGAGAACTGCAGGGCTTTATAGCGCACACAAATGAAGCTAAGGAAATCAGTTATTTTAAACTGCCTCAAGATAACAAAACATCATGTTTTATGTAATCTCACATGAGTTTTAGAAAATCCTAAAAGCACAAAGGGTTGCGTTTTTACAGAATAACACGTGGAACTGTGACTTAACTTTCACTAGCCTCAAAGCAGGACCACGCAGAGGACCGTCACTGTCTCTGGGCAAGGGAAAGTCACTCGTTTACACTGCAAAAGTGACAGAACAATCTTGTTCAGCTCAGAGAATTACTGTTATCCTATTTTCTTTGAAAGTGAGATTTTAAAAACAGAGCAGTAAGTCTAGTGGATGGGGAGGATGCTGAGCGGCCAGCCCAGTCACATAAGGTGACTTTCTCCTTCTCTGATGTTGTAACACGGCTGCTGATTCCCGCACTCAGGTCTTGGCACAGGACAGGAAAGCCCTTCTAGTGTGCAAAAGAGGAAAGTGGGACAAGCCAACTCCAATATGTTGTCTGCAACTGGTAAAGACTGCTCTGTATCTCAAAACCCAAGGGGAATTATTTTTTTTTCCAATGGTTGAAGGAAAACTTGTTGTATCAGTTGTTTCCAATTTGTGGGGGAAAAAAAAGTATCTTTAAAATAGTAATGAATAAATGGATGGTATGAAGCAATTATTCTGAAGTAATGCTAGTGAATATATGTCACAATAATATTTAATAGCTGAAATGTACTGACACAAAATTAAAGTAAAATATTGAATATATTAATACGCAAAGTTTTGTTTCTATTTTGAAATTAAACTATTTTTGTTGTGCCTTAGATTCAAATATAAGCCTTACAAATATCCATAGCCTCTGTTATAAATTAAACAACTTTTAAACAATACTTGTCAACATTCAAATCTCAATAAACTTTGGCAGCTCTTTGGTAAATACTTATAAATATCAATTAACAAAACAGTAAAAAGAGAGTGGGGAGGCTACCAGCAGGGAGCCTCTTTTTTTGAAATTCCATGAAGGGGAACAGAAACGAGAGCGCTCCCTAAGCAAAAACTATTTCCAAGATTGGTATATTTTAATGAGATTAGTAGCTCATCCTTCTTTTTTCTCTCTATTCAAATACTATTACACTGAGATTTTAATCAATTTCAGAATTTTTTGTGCTCTACCATATATACATATTCAAAATTTATACACAAGCAATAGTGGCTGTTTACGAGTACAGTTAAGTTTCAGTGCATCTGACAATTAATTATTGCACACAGAATAATCTCAAATGCCCAATTTGGATAAATGTAGCAACAAATACAACCTCTTATATTTTTGAACATCTATCTTTCTGTAAAATCTTGTGTTGGTGACACCTTAGGTGGCAAAGAAGTGAAAGGATCTGCGGGGGATCTGTTGCTGGTTATTCTTGAAGGTATAGGAGGTGCAGGTGGTCGTCGTGCTGGCATGGTATAGAAGCAATCAGTAGAACTTTTATTCCAGTCATTATCAAAGTTGAAGTCTGAACCAAGAAAAGTATTTTGTTCAGTGCCCAGCAAATCTGGAGATCCAGCTGACTTCCTGGAACCAATTTGCTTGAAATCTGGAACACTTTTAGATGGCTTTAGCTTTACATTTAAATTCTCCTCCTCATCAAACGTTACCCATCCTTTTGGCTGTACATTTTTTACCATGAGAGATTTACTTCGCAAGCAAAAAGTGTTTTCAGATGCATCAACAGAAAATACAGGCTTGCTTGTATTACAACTGAGGGGATTTAGAGAAGGGAAAGGATTGCAAGCAGCACGTCCTTCTAGTAAATGTGAAGTTATTTCAGGCTCTTGCGTTTCCATTCTAAACGGGTTTCCAGCAGTAGGAGTTCTTTCAGTGAATGGATTTGTGCAGTTCAGCCCAGTAATAAATGGATTTGGAGAGCTGCGCTTATGTTCCTGGGATGTGTTAAAGGTTGGAACAGGAGGCATTGCTGGCATGCAATTTACAGTGTTCAAAGTATCAGCGTTTCTTTGTGTTGCTGAAGGCAACTGTAGCAACTCCTTTTCGTTTAAAGTCGGAACAGGTGATGTTCGAACAGGCGTCTGCATCTTGGACACAAGCAGCTTAAATGACAAATCTTCAAAAGGGTCACTGTTTAACTGTGTTTCAAGTTTAGTGCCATACGTTCCGTTTGATTTAATCTGGAAAGGAAACAAGGTGCTTAGTAAGCACGTGGCTGCCTGGTTTAAGATTATTACTAACTCCCCATTTCTCACTCTTTCTATGAGAAGAAAAGAAGCTGTTGGGCTTAAAGTGAAACTTCAATACAATTTGTTTGCAACTTGCACAATGCACTTGTACTAGAAAGATTGCTTCTTTTCTGGAAAACAGTAACCCTTAACCCCTCCTCTGAAGGAAAGCCCACTAGTTGTTAAACACAATTTTCCCCCGTTGTTGGTTGATGCAACTTGAATCTACTTTGTGCAGGTCGGAATCCTAACCAAAAGCATTACTGGACATGGTAGCAGAAAATCTTTAAGAAACTTGGGAAATTATGCTGTATTCTAAACAAGTGATAACACACCACAGATAGGAAATAAAAAGCTCTAGATTTCCTTGTTTGACAGTTTATAACACTGACGTTACAAGCAATATTTAAGCATCACAATGAAAGGAAAAATTAGTGTTATTAGTATATGCACTTTAGACATTTCTATGTAGATGTACACATCTGTAGGCATCTCCAGTGCTTCTTGACATGTGAAACTACAACCATCAATTCGTAATATTTTGAAATGGCAAGTTATCATTGTTTAGAATAATACCAAATGGAGAAGATAGTGTTTTCTCCACAGAACTTCCTTATCTTTTAAAAACAAAATATTCCTGTTTTTATCAACTTCTTCAAACAACAATGCAACATTTATACCTTATAACAACTGTCCAAAAAGGTAGAGTATCTACAATTTGTTCAAGTCATCTCACTGACAGAACAGAGTATGGAGCTTCCCCTTATTCAACTAAAGCAAAGAATTAAGCTTAAGTTAAAAGAGCTTCTGAGAATTCAAATTCCACAAACAAATTTGTCATTTTAAAACACCTTAATATGCCCAAATAGTTTGGATATTTAGCATGGAAATTCTGTTAATTAATGTTTTGTTGAATTAGGATGCTAGCTAAAGCTGTCAACTAAAAGATTATATTATTATAGCCTAACCTCAGTCTTCAAACATCTTGGTTTTACTGCATTTATTGAGAATAGTTTAAAGCATGTCTCCACATATCCGCTTCCTAAGCAGTAATACAAAATTAGTCTTTATGCTTTAGAGACTCACAGGAATAAGAAGAATATTATAAGTTTTTCCCAATGTATCAACCATAGCAATTTCTTTTTAAAAAAATTGCAGTTGTAGCTGGAACTGGCTGGTAGGAAAAAAGGAATATGGTGGCAACAATCCATCTGCTCTGGGGATTTTTTTGAAACAACCCTCTGTTGTTAGGGTGTCTGTGACATGCATCCCTGGTACTACTACCTCAGAGGTTTCTAAAACAGATGAGGTCTGATGTTACCAAACCAGACGGTAGTACAATATTGGTATTTTTATATGTATATAGTAAGTGTTTTGGAAAATAATACTAAAACAAAGGCATCAAGTAACTGATGGGGAAATGTAAAAAACTGAACTGTAAGAAGAATGTAAATTGAATGCAGCGTGGCACCAGCTGGTTAAGTCCTGTGTTCATTAACCAAGTAACCAAAAAATACAAGATCCCAAAGAAACTATGAATCCCAATTGCTCTTTGTTGTAAGTAAAAATTTGGTCTGAGTAATTCTGGAAGCAAATGCTTTTTAATTGTTACAACCAGTATATTTTACTTCGGGTAAGAGTAAGTTCTCTCTTCTTTGAGAAATGTGAAATATGGGTTTTATTTTGAAAAAAACTTTGGGAGTGGAATTGCATCAGGATTTATTTGTATTCAAGAAAAATGTTAACTCCAACACTTACTCATTTTTTCCAAAAAGACTGAGACCAGGAGATTTAGCAGTGATTAAGCAACGTATGTGAGCTTCCAATTATTCATAAAATATGATGAAGCAAAATATTTGCTATGGCGCTAACAAATACAGTTAACAGTATCAATTTTAATTGCATTATGAAAGGAAAAAGCAAACTATGGTATGATAGTCAATTCATTAATGTGGACAGGTGATATTTAACGTGGATGAGACTGCAGATGTATGAAAACAAGATTCATACATCTTTTCTGCTTGAATAGATGGAGACCACATACAAGATTGGTAAATAGTCAGATACCTGTTACCCTGATGGTTGCTCCTGCTTGTGAAAGAGAAACAGACATCAAAGGAAAGAAAATTAGGAAGAAAATCCAAGTAACAAAGCAACCTCATGTTAAAAATACTTTTAAGTTTTCACGAAGCCATTTTTTTAGATATTAATACAAACCAAAATTATTTATTACATACTATACTGAATTTTAAATTTCTGTTGTATTCTATTGTAAGATAGAAGCTTTACCACCAGGAGTCAGAAAAAAACAGCTCAAGCTACTTCTAATCTTATTTTCATACAGACATTCATTGTGCAGATAATTGAGCTACTTTTTGAAGACTAATTATAAAAATATGACTATTGATGGTCTAATTCTAACCACCTAGTAACTTGAAAAGCACTATAGCCCTCCATGTTGGTATAATCACTCATCTACAGTAATAGTTTTTCAAGCTGAAAAAAAGTAAGACTTCTTATTCAATCAAAACTCCAAATCTCCTGAATTTATAATAAATAGAATCTATTTACAATAACTACTTTTCTTTTCTAAGAATTGCTTGGTAATCTATAAATTCGTCCTGAATATTCACATTGTATATGAGTAATTATTTTTATAAGGAGAGAGACAGGTTCTTAAATATCACAATCAAGCTTTGAATCAAAGGATGGGCTTGGCATCAACTACTTCTCAAAAGCCTTTGTATTTAATTAAAAACCTTTTATCAGAAAACTTAGTATTTAAAAATGATAATCAAGAAATGAAATAAACATAATTTAACTAAACTAAAAAAAAGGAAAAAACCCATAGAAATAAAAAACCTAAGCTGGAGACAATAAATGAAGCTCTAAGTGGGCCTTCCTTGTGATTGCACAGCCGGTGTTAAAGAAATCTGATTGCAGAGAAAGTTATAGCACCTGAACTAGTCAAACTATCTGGTTTGGATATTGTTAACAATAGAGCCACAGCATTACACAGCTCAAAAACCTGTTTAAAGTGTCCTTAAGCATATTTTTGATTGCTATATATACACACAGATAAATGTAATTTTCATAATAATTTTGAAAGAACTGCTTGCATCTCTCTCACAAAATGATCAGTGGTGAAACTACATTTAGAAGGTGGGAGGCTTTCAAAAGTTAATGCAATCTGTTTCTATTCACAAAATTGGTATGTTCTCAAGTACCTTATGCCTCCATATATATTCTCTGCTGGCAACACTTCATACTGTCTGACAAACTACAAAAAGTCCTGATGTTCTACCTGTATATTCAAAAATATCCTCTGGTTTTTTTTGGCCTAAGTTTCCAAAATTAAAAAAATTAACAGGCAGAGAGAGAGGATCAACAACAGAAAGAAAGGAAGAGCATTTAAAGATTTTTCAATTAAAATTCAAAATCATCTCACTGAGGACTGAATTTGTCTGCTTCATTGTGGTATGAAATAGGTATTAACTAACTGCTTTAGTGAAAGTGGGCTTCGGATGTAGAGATAAGGTAAAATCCACAGCTGAGTTTATGTTTAAAAAAACCAAACACCAGAAGACAAAACCACAAGTTTACTCTTGGTAAGAACTGGGCACAAATCCATCAGCTTCCATAAATTTGTGGTTTTATTCAAATAGTATGTTATCTGGCCCAGCACCTGATACTGCAAAAACTAACAGCACTGTCATTTAGTGCAGTTTAGCCTTATGTATATATAGATGATACTGAAAACCTACTTCTCCATTTTTTCGACAGCAGTAATAAACTATGGCTTTTTCTAGAAAAAGGTGGGATTTTTTTAAAATAGCACTCTAGATGGTCCCACAGAACAGAATATTTATGTTACTCAGTATTTTTCCATGCAAAGCTGTCAAATGACAACATAATTTTAAGAATAAACTGTCCATAAGTTGTAAATCTGCCATACAAAATCTTAAGTTTTGAGGTGCTAGTTACTCATGGACAATACATAAGCAATTAAGTATTATCCTACTAGAGCCTGATGATCTTTGAATCCAATCTTTTAGCCTTTATTTTTGTTTGTTTGCTTCCTTTAGGAGTTTCTCACAAATCTACAGCATTCAGTACAAGCTGTGTTAATTTATGTAATGAAAAAAACGCATATACAATATTTTTTTACTTACTTGCTGCTGTGAAGGAGCAGATTCAGAAGGCAAAGTGTGAGATGATCGGCTACGGGGAGGTGGTTGTGGGGGTTCCAGACTTTGTGGGGCACTTGTCTGAGATGGATGTGATGCCACAGGTATGAGAGGCTCCTGCATCTTTAGCACAGGCGGTGGCTGAGTGGTGGGCTGAGGAGGTGCAGCAGCCTGAGGCTTTAGTGGTTCAGGAAGCAATGGTGAGCCTGCAAATATATTTGCAGTGTTTTTCATTCTAAAGAATTGTAACAGAAGTCTTAATGCTGGCATGAATGAGAACATGTGGCTGTGGAAGCACCAGACAGAACCACAGAAGAAGGAGCTGTAAGAACAGCAGGTGTTCATGGCAACTAGATTAGAAGTTATCAAAAGCTCAGTGTATCTCCATTAAAAACTATTACTATAGATACAAAACAGAGAAATAGAAACCACATCATTCTTAAGTGTACTTCAGTTGTGTATTTAAGTGTATTTTGGAAATCACTATTATAAAATGCATATTTTTATATTAATACAATTTTTAAAAAACACTTTTATTTTTAAGTATAGGAAGTGGCTTTGAAAGTCAAACATAAACACTATTCCAAATGTGGTGATTACGGAGCATCTACTGCAGAGAATGATCAACGCCTATGACAGGACACACCAATGTGCCCAGATCAGAACACAGCAATCTGATCAAAGTTTCTCTTGATGGTATAAACTCTGTGGGTTGAGATCTCCTCTGACTGCTGCCTATGATCTGATAAAGATTACAATACTACCAAGTGTTAATACATTCAGGAATCTTAATTTCTAGTGAAAAACAAAGACATCTGTTGAAAATAAAGCATTCAAACCAGAGACAGTACCATTTGACTGAATAGTGACATTTATATTTAACTTCTAAGGTAAACTTACCCCTTGGTGGTTCAGGTGGTTTGGTTTGAGTTTCAGGTGCTGGTCTTCCCCCAGAGGGACGGACATGGCTTTGTGGTGCACTAATAACTCCAGCTCGGGGTGGGACAGTCTGACATAATAATTGGTAAAAATAAATTATTTTAGTTCTATTTTGGATCTGTAGTAATCTACTGTTGAATGATTCAGGATAATTAGGACTCTCTGAAAAATAAATTCTTTGACAGCAGCTGCTGAGATAATTTTTTATGCACATATAAAAGCAAAGAATATATTCTCAAAACATTATGAGAGTTCAAATCAAAGCAAAGGATTTTTACAACAGTTTTCAACTTTATATAAATATCTATCTGTGCAACAATGTTTGAAACACTCATTATTTTGCTAGTATTAGTAAGTTAATTTTACCTGAGTCTGTGAATTGTTGTAAGCAACAAAAACAACAACTACTTTATTTGGAGATATCCTAAGGGCACATTGGTAACCCACTATCAATGCAGACTGTAGACACCATCTACCTTTTAGGCTATAATTATAGGCTTCCATTTGCATACAACAGCTACAGTCAATTTTTTATATAAAAGACCATGGTTAGTTCTTTTCCCTGAAACTTATGTTTGCTAACTGTAAGGCAGTTACTCCTGTCCTCAGCAAATAGTATTAATGAAACATACATTCTGCCTCATCTGAAGGCTGAAGTCTTCCCAAACTTGTTGGAACAGACGTTAATATGCTGGGAATGGAACTGCTCTCATAAAACAAAATTTAAAAGTCTGCATCGGTATTTAAAGAGAAATAGGAAACTATTTCAGATTACAACTGGAGCTGAATGAATTACAAACACCACATTTGAAAGTCAAACTTAAAACGTTAGAATAAAAATGCTAGATTTTAGGAAAAAAAAAATCATGAGGCAAGATAGTTTGCAAGATTTGTTTCTTCTAAAATTTTGTGTACTTGGTATATTCTGACAAAATCTTAGTAATATTGGATGTTCTAGAAATGGTTTTCAGAGCAAACCCGAATATACAATTCTTTACACAAACATGATTTGAAAACAAGCAAAGAAACTTTGCCACTACAAAACAGCTTTTGCTTTTACTAGATGTATATATTCTACTTCAAAGACTCTGTAAAACATCTGATTCATTATGCTTGGCTGAGTCCATTTTACAACCTTCTAAAAGCTTTAAACCACCTAACCTCTGAAATATGTCTCTCTTTTAATTGCCAAGATGCATTTTGTCATTTCTTTGAATATTCTGAATGTAGGCAGAAGGACGGTTGGATTAAATGTCAAAATGTATTTTTAAAAAACCCCCAAAACATCAAAAAAGGAACAGAAAAGAAACAGAAAGGAAGGCTAACACAATCCTCAGGACCACCCGGAGGGAAGTGGCACGCGATGTGGCTACTGTCCCTGGTCCTGAAATCCTTGGAATGAAACGCTGCCCAAAAAACAACCTGGGAAAACGGAAAGAAGCAATGTCAGCTAGGGAATCCAAACAAGGGCTGAGCTAAGGCTTGAAAAGCCAAGCAGATCTCAGGAGATTTTTTTTTTTCAGACCTCCTATTACATTTGGTTGTTTGGTTGTGAGGTGGTGTTTTTTGTTTGGGGTTTTTTTTGTTTGGTTTTTTTGTTTGTTTTTTTTGGGGGGCAGGAGAGTTGTTTGGTTTGCCTTAGGTGTTTTCTAAAGAAAATCTCAACGTCTGCCAAAGGAGAGATGCAGTTATCTTAGTCATTTTTGTCTTGTCAAATTATGCTGGCAATTGCAGTACCGTGGTTCTTTCTGGAAACGGGCAAGCAGCTCCAATGGCAGTCCAGCCTGGGTGTTGAGAAGCGCAGCACAAGAAAACAGTACTACTTTTTTTCTGTCTTGTTCATATACACAAAAATTCTTGCATTTATGCCAATTCCAAGATACCAGTGGAGTCTCTTCTGTATGCCCGATTTTTTTATTGAATTATTTTGTCTTAGAAATGGCAAATCCTGTGCTGCCTCCAGATTACAAAAAAAAAGAAAAAAAAAGG